AAATTTCGATACTTCCCGATCCCGATTCGAATATAAACAAACATGAGCAGAAACGAAATAATTTTGTCATTTATCACATTTTACCCAGTAAAAGGCCATCAGAAAGCGTTATTAAATGTCCCTTTAACTAATATTACATATACATATAATAAGGTGAACACTCCATAAAAAATGGTAAAAATTTGTTAGCTTGGATTGTCATTTAAGACACGTCTACGCCATTCATTATGAAAGTGATGTAAGTCCATCTTCCTTTGTTTGATATACTGTTGATGCACAAACGGTGTGTGCAACGATACGTCCATTTTACGAGTCAGAAAAAATAACGCTGTTATGTTATAAAATTCATACAGAACATATAGAATTCATTTTCATAATGAGTGTTTTTCCTATTCTGTTTACCAACTGAACTTCGGCCAACAAACTTGTGAGAAAGTATCACCTGTTGACATAAACCTTTTTACAGGCAAAATAAACATACTTTAAGCATTTCTTGGACAAACTCCATTTAAAATAAAATAGGCTCAACTATTGACTAATGTAATAGATAGCAACGTGATTTAAGGAAAAGTTCGTAAAGAGCAACTTAATTGAACTTGTCAAAAGTTTACACAATATAACAAAGAATGACTAGTTGAATGATCTGATAAATTCTTTCAATAAGACGACGTATTTCCTTTATTGCAACATCTAAAAAATTGCAACAATAAGTATGATTTGACGGAAATGCACGATGTATGACTAATCAATGAATCATTATCTCGATATCGAAATCCGAACGATTATATTCATCAATAATAATGCACGTATAGAGGAATCTCCCCTTTTGTCCAAAATGTACCTACGCTGAAAATTGCACGTGCACGAGAGTGCACGATGATAACGCTTCGAAGAGGTTAAAACTCATTTATCTTGACGCAGAGTGCGTCATTTTTCGAATCTAGCTTTACACTATTCCAAAACAATACGTCTCTATAAAGTTGTCGTTCTAGCTCGTGTAATAAATGGAGAGTATAATGTACATTTTTAACACATTTGTTACAGTTATTCGAAAATTCAGATTTAACGGTATCCACTATGAAAACGATTCATCCTTTAAAAGTGTATTTCACCACTCTTTGATTTAGGTTTTCTTAGAGTAATTTTGTGATAGACATACGTTTATTTACATATGTTTTAGCAAAATCTGAACGCTTTTCTCTATTTGTATTATTACATCGTCACCTAATGGGAACCTATTTAAAGGCTTTTTAGTTTCAGTATTTACCTACAGGAACCTATTAACTGTGTTGTTTGGTGTCTGCTTACAATCATCAATTTGAGGATACAGATAAGTCTTTTAATATACAACAACAGTAATAGTAACTATATATAGAACAATATACAGTAACAATTGATAGTACCAATATACATATATTACCGCGAATTCATTGCAAACATTTCGAGCACAAACGGATTTTTTCTTGCCTTTTCAATTGTACTCCGACCCTCTCTAATCGTGAGTACACGCGTCTGACCTGTTCGTGGCTTATTTTCTGCAGTTTCCTCTTTCTCATATTTCTTAACAATGTATTGTACTGTCGTCAGACTTATATTTCGTTTTTTACCAATTTTTTCGTGACCGTCTTCGTGTTTCAAAAAAAAAACACACGAGATGCAGATGCTTCATTTTTCATCGATTCATCGTTAACATGATTTCTGTATACAATTTGAAAATGTACTACTGGCACAGATTATACCAAATGTATTGTATAAACAAACAATTTTTTATATTTTTGTCAAATAAATGATTTTGTTAAATCATAATTCTTCGAATACATTTTTGGCTCCCAAATTCTTGTATTTCTGCGCAACGTATTATTGAAAATTGTTCGTTTTCACATAATCCCTATACATAGACTATTAATCGAAATAGTTTTCGTTCGTGTACCGTTTGTTTGTACAAAGTACTCACAAAAAGGAACTAGGTGTACGAATATTTTTTTGACCCATTGTACGTGCGTTGAATTTGAATTTCTTGAAAGTTACGGTGTTATTAATTTAGTAAAGCTAGATTGCTACAGTGGCACACTGTGAGATATGTTGTGGCCTTCGACGAGTTCAATGAATTTTCGTCATCGTGTCCGCTTCCTCTCGTTCGTTAGGAGTTCTTTAATTCGCGATATCAAACAGTACTGTGCCTTATCGTGTGCCACGTGTCCACGCAACCTATTTACTATCGCGTAGTACACACGTACGCGTCTCAAGAACGTTCGTCTTTATTGCGTCGATCTCGGGGCGTGTGAATGTCGAAGTCACGGCGTAGTAAGTTCCTGGCAATACATTGACACCACGCGACGAGTAAATCGCGACAGAATTAAAATTCGAGTCGCGCACGAATCACGCTCCCGACTGGGTCGCAATTTGCCATCGTTAGATCACGATAAATCGTAGTTAAAGGGAGACAAACGATTCTGCTATTATTTTTTCAATTTCATTATGTTCACGGTGGATCATAGTTTACGAAATTATTCACTCGTCTCCACATATGACATACTTTATGTTCACCATATTTTTATCTGATACATTTATCATTCCTGAGGAAGGTCAGCAACTTTGGTCGGAGCGTTGAAGATGTAACGAAATTATTTGATTGCGTCATAGTCGATTACTAGTATAGGATAATATTTATCCATGATCTTTCTTAATCTTTGAAACGACGCGCAAATAATTTGATTTGATTTATCATAATTCGATGGTGTTAGGTATAATAAGCATTTCGAATAAAGAATGAATTTTTGAAACATTGATTTTGGAGGTTTCTGACAGATGCCTTTGTCGTTAGTATAATGCGTCATCAGGTCTGGCGGTGTATATCAATTTCGAATCACCCACGATAAACAATGATCGCAATAAATGGGAGTGTTTCTCGTTACGACTGTCGAGGCCTCGAACTGCCTATAACGAAAGGTGAACGGTACGGTAGCGAGGTATACATATGTTGTTATGCTATTTTTTTTTCGCAAACTATCTTTTGAGTGACGCAGTTACAAGTCTACTTCTTACATACTACGAAGTAAATTGCCACGCTTGGTCAGCACGCGGTGACGCTGATTCCTAGAGAAAAATAGATAATAATTTGCTGCATAAACAGCGCATTAAGCGTACACGTGGTATCCATTATCGAACTACCCAACGAGCTTGACAGCTTACGAATAGGCAACAGTGAACGGTTATTTTCGGGTGCAAGCGTTATGTATACTCGAGCTGTTTTACTATTTGCCTAGAATGAAGGCACGTATTCATGAAGCGTTTGTGCGCTCGTGGAACCGAAGGAACGAAAACTTCGACGTCGACTTCTATACATATAACTACTCTCCGTCCGCGTTACGGGATATAAACAAACACGGCAGCGTACAGCTAAGACCCCACGCTACACAACTCGAAATTTGCATCATTCTCCCCTTTCACAGACGACTTGGCATAAAGAGCCTCCACACGGAAACGATACAATGGCGGTGGGTCGTTTGTAGTACCGCGCATGTGCGCTCACATCTTCGGTCGATGGCAGCACTACTGCTTCTACAGGTTCTTTTGAAATTACGATTCCTGTAACTACGCTTTTACATTGTGTTTCGTTATAGTTTTTTTTTTCTTTTTTTTTAAGTTTTAAGTCGCATTAACAACTCTGGTCGCGAGCGACTTTATACATTTACGTTTAACATCATGTATAATTTTACATTGTGCTGCTCGATGGGACTACAGTGTGTTTATTTACATGTATAAAACTTATGTTATCTGTGATTTTACAATTTTTTTTATAGATTTTGGTTTCTTTTAGGAATATAATCAAGTTTCTGATATTGTCCCGAGAGTTCATTATTTCATTTATATCGTTTTGGATCTTGAGGTTTTTCCTAATTCTATCGAAATGCTGGCAGATAAATAGGATGTGTTTCATGCTGAGGATTTCGTTGCATACTGTACATTTGGGTATTCGTTACAGTTATTTAATACGAAACAACGTTGATTATTTTCGTGGAACGTGTTGCTCTTATTCCTTGGTAAATTGGAGGAAATACTTGTGATACTGAAATAATTAATATCGAAAACAAGAGTACATCGTAAGTATTTGTTAAAATTGCAAATAGCATTCCGGGCAGAATTTTAATCGAGCGATAGATGACGAATTTAAAATAAATGCAGCTTTAACATAGTTTTCTAATGTATAAACAGCTTAAGGCAATCCGCGAAACAAATCGATAGTCCAAAACAAAATTGCTGAATCTTCCGAAAATAACAAATTTCATATTTCTCAGAAATTAAAATGTATCTTCTGAAATAGAATCAATCGAAGAAAATGTCAGTTTGAATATTCATTACATTCTCGGTTTCAATATTCTATTTGGTATTGTTCATCATTAATAGATTAACAAACGACATTTATATAATTAATTTTACAGTCCACCGGCCTGTATACCTTTATTCATAAAAACATTGGGTTGTCCCAAAAGTTTCTTTCGCTTTATTATTAAGTAATACATGCACGATATTTTATGTTTTATGTTACATTACTGAATTGCGCACGATTCATTTTACTCCATTACTGTTACAACATGAATATCTATGCAATTAGTTCGTCTATTTATATAAACACGACCACATAAAATAATTGAGTGCAACTCGCGAAAGAAACTTTCGGGACAACCTAATATAACAATTTTGTTTAATTTAAAACGCAATAAAATTCCTGTGCCACATGGGTCTATTTTATGACCTGAATTCCTATGCCGCAAAGAGTTGAACGACGCGAATGGTCCCAACGAACGACAGATTTCACTATTTTTTGTATGACGTGTACGCAAGAAACATCGAAGAAAGGATATCATTCGAAGATGATCGAATTGCGATTATCTCCGTTCAAACTGCGCCACCCGTACCGCCCGCCATATTAGCATACGCAGATGGCGCGACGAACGTCGTGCGAACAGCTGAGTGGCGAGTGGAATATCTGTGGGAGCAGAGCGCTCCGCAAGCAGTTCTGTTCTCCGTACTCGACCGGAGCTGCTCTCGGCAGTAAACAGCTGGCGACGCGATGCGTCAGAGCAAAATGTCGAACGGGACTGCGCCAAGCTAGTTGCCCCTCTACTTCTCTTTGGCACGGTGCAAGAGCTTGAAAAAAAAGTGAACACTCAACGGGCAAGCGTTCGGCGCATTCGCGGTATAAATTCGGCAACGAAGTACACAAGTGTCAGCAACGGTACCTGAAACTCGGGTCCACCGGAAAATAAAGGCGCAAACGAGAAAAACCCGCGGACGAAAGTGGGGTTTCTTTGTTCCTGTGCTACGGTTCTCTGCGCATAGGTTCCCGTGCGTGTGGCGCAGCGTTGTTTGTTGTGGTCGGTACGTCACTCTCGGCGTACACACGACTCGGTTGCGATATTAAACCAAGATTCTGGCGTCCTGGATGATCCCGAGCCATTTCGTGCACGGGATATATCGTCCACCGTGTCTTTTTCCGTCTCGGATCCTCGCCAGGCAACGCACCGACCAGGAGAAAGGATCGCTGGCCTTTCGTGTACGCGCGAGTGCTTTGTTTTGACGAGCAGCTGATCCGGGACTAACTCGTTTATCGCGTCGACGAGTTCTCCATCGTTGCAACGGTGGCTCGTTTCGAAACAGTTTGATTGTGTTTCGCGTACACGACGTTGCTGGTCGCGGGGCTGTCTCGCGAACTGTGTTTAAAGGGATCGCCGAGCCGTGGCAAGCGGAGGCTTACATCACGGAAAAACGGAGGACGCGATCGACCGATGCTTTCGGAGCAACAGTGCAACCTATACCGTGAACCTCGATGACAGGACCAACGACGTTGTCAAGAATCGTTACTCCGTAGTTTATTAAGCAGACATCTTCGCGGCGAGTGATTATTTTCGGTTTCCAAGGGGCTCTACGCTCCCTCGTTCGTTTTTCGTCACCGACTTCCGGCTCGGACCAAAAATTCTTCAGTGCCGTCCTGTGAATAACGATCGCGCGGATCGTGCCTCGCTCGAGCTATAGTTTACCAACTCGAGCTCGTCAAAAAGGCTGTACCAATTACTACTAATCTCACCTTACGAGTATTCCCTGTTCCGAAACCTGTGCGATTTATTTCTTTGGTTATCGATGATCTCGTAATACGTTGCTCTTTTTCGAGCGATTTACATATTTTCTTTTTTTTTCCACTTGAATCTCAACGAATCGTTCTCGTTGAAACACGGAATTGTTTTCATTTGAACTGACATTGTGCGCGTACGTACGTGTATAAATAGCGTGCGGAAATACATAGACGGAGGAGATCTTTCGCGTCGTTTCTCGTCAGAGCTTTGCTTCCCGTTCTCGTCTTGGCTCGTTTTATCCGCGATTCGCGCGCGATCGCACGATCGCACAATTCGTGCGATACTTCCCGAAGGAGGGCTGCACCGGGAGGTCTCGAACTCTGCGAGAGTTTCGGTGAATCGACGAGGACGAACGGATTGGTGGCCGTGATCGATGTGGCATAAACCCGAGGGGGCCGTACTCGCGAGCGGTGGGAAACGTGGGGTACGGCCCCGATCGAGCTGACTACAGGAGTTGACCCGAGGTGACAGAGGTCTTCTTCTTCGGACGTCGACAGCAAGATAAGCATCGCCTGGATGCCAGTTGAGTCCTTAGGGCGGGTTGGCCGTTTCACCCTTTTCGGACTGGAAGGAGCTTGACCGGCCCGAAGATGTTGTACATATTCCACGTGGACACCGGCACCACCATCACCTTCGACATCAAACTGGCCCTGCAGACGTAAGTTTTTCTTCTTCTTCTTCTTTTTTTTTTTTTTTAAACGTTTACTGCCACGCTAAAATTTCTACCGCGATTGAATTTCATTTACCAACTATCGGGGACTACATAATCAAACATTTATCGTGGTATTTATTTTTGTAACTTCACCGAAATTCAAATATTTGGTTGTCCGGAAAGTTCGTGCCTATTTTTAAGAAAAATTCAAAGGCGTATTTGAATTTTGATGTATATTTATTGAATTATATATGTACCATTTTTTTTTTTTTTTTAAATTATTTTACTTAAGGTCACATCAACTACAGGGTTATTAGCGACCACGTTCATATTTACAATTCAATTACGATTTGTTCATTATTCCATATTTAGTTAATAAATCGATCAATTTACAACAAAACTTTTATGTGAAATTGTAGTTTTCTTAAAAATTCTTTTTTTTTGTGAAGCTTGTTTACATTCTGTAATAGGGTCGTTTTACGGGGAAATTGAATGAATACTAAATGGAGCAGCATCTCAAATTTTGTGCAAATTTGATTATGTTCCAGTCTTTAGTGATACTTAAACGCATATTAATGGATTTTTCAAAATTTTCAAAATTATGGATTTTACAGGCGTATAATTTATCTTATTCTTTACAAATGCGATATTATAAAACTTTAGACGAATACGACTTCTAAATTGAACGTGACAGTATTGTGTTCGTAAGCTCCAAAAAGGACGTCTGTTCGAACTAATGAAGAATTGAATTTTGTGTTTATTTATTTGGCTCTTGCACGAACTTGCATAGGTAGACACTGTAGACCGTCAGTCTCGGACCATCCGTTATTTACGTTTCTGATGTTGTGTTTGTTTACTATTTACATTTGATTCTGCTATTGATTTGTAAATATTTATGGTATCAATATGTACAACCCAATGGGCGAACCTTGGACGATGAAACATACAAATCAGACTGTGCGGATTGTTGCAGATTGTTTTTTTCAAGTATCGGTAGAATTGGGGGTGAAATTATTTATTTTGTCTTTATATTTATCGAAACGATCCTTCAAGTTGGAAAATATGAAGAAGGTTTATATATCGTTGGTTAAACTGATTAACTTTTTCTGTTTGCCTCGGTTACAGAATAAATTAATAAATATTCATATCTTTTTCAACGTTTCAATCCTATGACTCTTTCAAAGGAAGATAAATAAATTGTGTTTTTCCAATTGCTCTGTGTATGGCGTAACCTAGATTCGATTCCTTTTCTCGACTCTTTCTATATGATGGTTCTTTAGAGAGCAGTTTACAGTGTTTCTGGGAAAGTTAATTGTGAAAGTATGCGTGTAAAAAATATTCTTCGTACATCTCAAGTTACTTGAAATTCGATAAATATATTGAAATTAAAAATTTCTAGTATATGCTTATTATATCAATATTTATTGATTTGCTTTAGTACTATAGAAGTTCACCTGAATGTACTCGGTTTATCGAACTGCTATAATTGTGTATAAAACTACAGTACCAGTCATTTATGACTAGAGATTCTGTATTTGTAACTAAAATTTAAATGATCATTTTTAATTAACAGACAAATTTGCCGAAGCGTTCACAAAGCTAAAAACTAAATATAAACCGCGTCAATTTCATTGAAGAAACAATGATGTCAATGTTGTATACATTTAATCCATTATTGGAATTCTTTCATCTAGATTTTCACGTAAATCAAAAATTGTATTCAACGTTCTGAAAGCATTTCTGCAAGATCATTTCAGCGACTTTCCGTAATATTTGCAAATCCTTGTACATTATTCTCCGTTACCTCTGTTTCCTTCGCGCAGTACATCGTGATAACTGTTCCACTATTTCCCGGTCCATTCCTCTTCTACATCCTACAACGTGCGTTACACCTCTTTCATTCATTTTCTTTTAACCGCGCGAGGTAAACGCGGCATATCGAATAATTGCCGGACCGCGACTGCCTGAATATTCATTTCTCGTTGAAAAATAGCGGCAGCTTTTTAACCATCGTGTTGTTCTAACAGAAATGACGTACTTGCGCTCGTCAATTTCCAGAGCCTCCTTTTGGCGTTTTGTCGAATGTAGGACAAGCGTACGAACGCACGGCGCGTTACACAGAGATTTAATCAGCTGTTCTGCCAAGGGGTCCGACTATGCGTGTAATTTCGAGCCCAGAAAGTTAATTTGTCAGCCGCTGTTTGAGATTTTTTTGTAGAGAACACTATTGCACATATGAATCTCAAATTTTATATATTTACTTATTTATGTCTTATCGAGATAGTGGAACTTTTCCAACTGCGAGTAAATGATTTTGTCGATGTCCTGTTGACGTTGAAGGTGACACATTAAATTAACATTGAGATAAACAAAAAAAAATTAGTATCGTCGCGGAGTGTATATATTTATGAACTACATTACAGAAAGTGTGTAATTTTCATTCCGAGACGATTATTCCGTTACAGGAAAAAAAATATGGAGAACCCTCAATTTTCCGCTCTGAGAACTATTATTTTCTTCCGTAACCGAGTTGGCATCGCTCACGCGTTTCCTAGTTCTTCTTTTTTCTCACTTTCCCGTGGTCGTTGGTATTATTTATGATATCGTAAAGGCGCGTTCGATATTATTCCCAGATTAGACTCCCTCGTTAAACTCCGTCGATGGTTATCAGACCAAGCCTAGCTCGCTCGTTTCTCGACGCGGAAACTCATTTCTTTTCGTACAAAAATGGCAAATATATCTGCATCCTCTTTTTTTACGAACAACGCAGTCGATTTTTCCGGATTTTACCGACGTTTAAGTTCTTCCATCAAGTACAGTGGTCGTCGCCATTCAATTGCGATATAACTTGCGCTCAATTTTTACAGAACTATATTTTATTGTAATACTAATAATAAAACTTGAATCATAAATATTAAAAAAAGCATTGTGTGTCTGTCCTTATAATATTATATTTTCGTAAATAGGGTGACAATTTACCAGTAAACAAAGTTTCAATTAAATCAATGACCCGAACGTTTTGCGTTCTTCTTGTTACCAATGGCAACAGAGAAACTATTTTATCGATAAACTGTTTCGTTCCTCTTTCCTCTAATTACAAAGATACAATTGTACACTTTCTGTGTTTAGTTTGTGTTGGATTAGAGAATATATTTTACTTAATGTCTCATCCGCAATAAGAAAAGAAGGGATTCAATATTCTTTTCATTAATAATCTCTCGTGTACATTTCTGTTAGCAATTTTGATAAAGAAGCTATTAATCTAGTCGACATATTTTTTATATGATGTTTCTAAATGATCCCATAGTTTCTCTACGAGACTCAATGTACCCGAAAAAGAAACCCGAAATAGAATATAGTAATAAAAAATTTTCTAGTAATAATTCACGGTGTAATTATCCATCGGATGTTAAAAGTGTCCGCATGGAAAGTATACTTAGGAACGGGGGTGTACTTTGGCGAAACCTGTCCGAGCATGCATTCAAAGGAAGGCCACCCACTTTTATGCAGTGCCTGCGCGTACAGTAATCAACGTAAACTTTCACGTAATTTATATCTGGATTTTAAACGCAGATGCAGAAACCAAGGCACTTGCTTTTTATTTGTTTTTTATTCGCATTACACTTGCACTGTTTTTGAAACATACGTCGCAATCGTACCGTCGATCGTCGTTCACGCGATTGGTCGTTGTTCGTTATTTAGCAACGCGCTCGTATCGCGAACAACGACACGGCGAGTGGAAGTGCCAAGGATCCCTCGAAGGTGAACAAATTGCAAAACCATCTATCTATCTGTCTATCGCGGACATACGTGGGCAAGCCGTGCCCTCGAGTGGCTTTTCTCTTGTTCGACGTGCGAACTGCGAACGTCGAACGTCGTTCGTTCCTTCTCGGAGACGATGGAGCAGGTGGCAACGAAAATAGTAACGAAATCGGCGCGTCCAACGTGGGCGGCCATTGGCTTGTGTCACACACGAGTCTGACCCCGCGGGCAAACTCGGCCAAGTCTTTAATGCGTGATGCAAATGCTGCATCACTCGAAACCTCTCCCCACGGTCCAATTTTCCGCGACGCTCTCGTGTTTACGAAACTCCGTTTACAATTCTTCAACGTCGTCGTTTGTGCCTCGAGTCCACCGCAGTTTCCCCGGTTTTCACTCCACTTCTTGCGAATTAGCGCGAATAAAAATAAGCACACACGGTCCGCCTTGTTTCATTTTTGCAATTATCGCGATCTCTGCCGTTGCGAAACATTTGGTTTGTGCTTAAACATTGACACGGTTCAGTTTACAATTTTTATTCCGTGCAGTCAGCATCGATTTCGAGTCCTCCATTGTGGAAGGACATTTATGTCGATGTACATAACCGGGATCAGTAGGTGGACGAACGTCTCCGTTCCAATAACGGCGAAATCAAGAAAAGAATAGTCTATACAAGAAAACAGGTAGCATTTTCCGACGAAATTCTAGGAGAGTGGTATTCGATACAGATATAGTGTTCGCGTTGGCAAAGTTTTCTAATATACTCCAAACGATGTCTTGTTAGAAGAAGAATCGAGAAACATTGGTAGCGGAACACAATCTCGCGGTTTCCAGAACTTGAAGACCTGTTTCGATAGAATCACTGCTACGCTTCATAAAATATAAAAACTATAGTGGGAGATTCGATAAGGTCAACTTAAAAGCAGTATTCTTTTTTTTCTGAATAAACACACGAATTCTTGCGTTTGCTAATATTCTTGTTGCTCAAGGTCTTTCGAATAATTGTACCAAATTATATTTAAAAAAAATGTTTATATTGCCGAAGTTATAATTAGACAGCGGATCTCTATGCAGAATAAAGTCTTTCCAAACGTGCCTACAAAAGTTAAATATCCAAATAAGAGTTTACTCTGAAAATATTACAGTATGAGCTTCACTTTCAATATTTTTTTATATTATTGCAATATCTGTGCATTTTGTAGTTTCTTGCATATTCAATTTCCTGTAAAAGCATAAAAATGCACAGT